ATCTCGTAAAGCATCAGACAACATATGATTTTTGAGTAGGTGTGCCCACATTTCAATTATTACATTTTTCCCCAAATAGGTATCTTATGGGCAAGTGCTTGGAGTTATTGGCTATTCTTTGCTCCCATTGATTGTAATAGCTCCGCTTCTTCTGGTCATCGGGGGATTTGAAGTAGTCTCTACACTCATAAAGGTAAAGAAAACAAATGTAAACACAGTAATAAATATAAAGTGAGAAATTAGTTCAAATACCAATTTTCCACTATTAACTAGTGGCTTATTAGTACATCCCTAGAGCTGCACGATTCCGGCTAAAATGAGAATCATGATTTTTTATTTGTTTAAAATAAAGATCACAATGTTCTCAAAATTCTGTAGATGTAAAATAAAGGTAATATTAGGCTATTATTACTGTTATTTCTCAAACATATATGTATAGGTCTACTGTTGGTTAAAATGAAAAATTTTGTATAGGCTTGGAACAGTGGACTTGAATAGACTGTAAATATGTCCTAGTCGTTAATGCACAGTAAAGTGATCACATCAGAATACAACTATTCATAATTCTGTCACAGCTCATGGTCCGCTCTTGTGTGATTTTGCCACCACGAATATGTCATTACATGAAAACAGATCTTAAAATTGGGTGAATTATACCTTATAAATACAATATGCAGACTCCTTTTCACCATCTGGAGGTGTCAACATGGCTGAGAAACCTATATAAAACAATGTGAAGACTTGTAAAACCCTCTATATGCTAATATATTTGGCTGAGTTGTAGAGATGCTAGAATTAGATTGTGTGAGGGGTCGAAACGAGATCACAATCTTTTTTTTTTATTAATCATGCATCCCTAATCCAAAACCTAACTACTACCTTAAAGGGCCATAACATCCCCCACTTTTGGTTCAAGTCTACCTCAGAATTTAAAAAAAAAAAAAGCATCATAATGGGCGTGGAGTTCCGCGATCAGAGACAGGAGTGCGCGTGGCCGGCAGAGCAGGGGAGAGGGTCGAGAACAACTGTTGCCAGTTAGCTCACATAATGAGACACAAACCGTGAGAAGACACGTGATTTTATAGTTTACAAAGTTAAATGCAAAGAAAAAAATAGTAATTTAATGCCCTGCTACATTTGTCATTTGTAATTTCATATACACACAACCACACTTTATATCATTATAAAAATAATTCGAGAGGGTGCTCGCTGCAGAGCCATTTGAGGAGAGCTGAGCTCCAGCGAGGGGCAGCATGAGCTGTCGCTCCTCCTCCTGTAAGCTGTTTTAATGCATACACCAACCCCACCCCTAACCCTACCCCCAGTGACATCACTCGTAGAAGAAGTGCAAAAAAGGTGGAGCTCAAGCTTAAGCTCCCCCTCGCTGGAGCTCAGCTCTCCTCAAATGGCTCTGCAGCGAGCACCACTTGCCTCAATCCCCTGGTCTGAATGCAGATTCAGTGTAGCAGGTCTCTTGCACTGCCTATTTCAACACTTAGCCCTGCTGGTAATCTGGAGGATTTAGGGGAACACAGCAGCACGGCGATGTGTCTAAATGTGATCGAACTTCACTGATAAAGGACAAAGTCCGCCATTCTCCGCCATACTTGTACTGCTCTCCCAAAAAAAAAATGCTTACTGCACACAAACAGCTTTGCTGTATTGGCTCTGACAGGATCGTGTGGAAAAAACATGCAACAAACCCCGTGGATCATGGAAACAAACACAAACGACCCTTCATGAGCAGCTAAATACTGTGTGCCATGGGTCAGTGGATGCGGTCTCACCCAGTCATCAACATAGGCTCTCACAGCTTGGCACTGGCAGGTCTCTCTTGGCTTTGGAAAGCACGCGGAGTCATGAAGAAGCATAGGATCTTCTCATAGGATAAGAAAACTCTGCTATGAATAATAATGAGAAACCGTTGCGTCATCTTTGCACTTGCAGTTTTGCAGTACATCACTGATTTTGATCCCGCCCCAAAAATCATTCTAAACCCGGAAAATGAAATTAGCTGACAAAAGCTCCAAATTTTCCAGTTTTCCTCACAATTAAAGCTGACAGGTGCTAACATTGTCTTAACTGATGCTCAACACACAAAAATCTGCTAAAATCTCAAAAAAAGTACTCGAGGGTTTCTTGAATCTTTAATAACGATTTTATTCATAGAATTTTATTGAATATTCATAGTTAATCCTTTAACAATAGTGAGAAATGTGCCTTAAAATAGAGTGTGATCAAATGTTTGTCTGTATGGAGAACAACTGTATTCAATGCAAAAAAATATGATCTGTTTGTTTTCTAGCTTTTTGGAGTATTCTGGGCTGCGTACAGTGCTGCTTCGTTACTCGTCGGTGATGAATTCAAAACGAAGAAACCCCTCCTCATATATCCCATCTTCCTTTTGTACATCTACTTCCTGTCTCTGTATACTGGAGTCTGAATTGACCACAGGCTTTGATTGGCTCGTTGCTTGGACATTAACACAGAGCACTGTGGAGAGTTGCACAGCAGGGATATTCCATGAAGACCGAGGAGGAGTTTGCATTTTCTCGCTTTCTTTTACCTTGTTTATAGTCCTATATGCTTTGGGGGGGGTCGAGGTGTACAGACATTAGTGTATTTAACTGCTTTCATTAATTTTGTACACAATAAAAAGCTGCATCTTTTACTGTGGAAGCTGTATTTGCAGAGGTTACTCTGCCATTGAAATGTGGAGCCATGGTTTTACATAACAATTACAAGCACCAACAGGAAAATAAAAATGAAAACTTTATATTGTAAAAGACTATTATAAGCATGATAAATCATGTAACAGAACTTGTGTTTTCCCACACATAATGGTGAAAACTTTACGAGTTAACCAGTTTATGATAGATGGATATTTTTTGTTGTAGAGTGAGCCAAAACATTCACAGATTCCATTTGTTTTTAATTTATGAGTTCCACATGGGGAAAGAGAGTGTGCAGGCAGTACTGCTTGGATTAAAAATGTCCGCTAAGTATGGGTGCCTTAAATTGGTTGTTTTATATGGCTGTGGTGTATTTTATTTATGTAAATGTAGCCAAAAAAAAGGAAAGGAATTTTTATTTGTAGATCATGCAATTGAAGACAACTTTCTACCTGGTGATGTGTACACTGCAGGCATATGTTACCGTATTAGTATAGCTAAAATAATGGAGTATGAAAATTGTTATAATAAACATCATGAATCAAATTAAAATCTGTTGACACTGTAATTACACTTTGTGTTGTGAATCTCTTTAATGTCTAGGAACAATGATATTTAATTGGGTGATTTATTATTATTCATTAGGATGTTTGCTTACAGGTTAAATGCTTTAACAGCAAGTGATTTTTTATAATATCCCAATGATACAAAGTAGATGACACAAGAGCACTGTCTCTTCAATTTACTTGTGTTAAGAGAAAAAAATATTATTCAAGTGCTGCATTTAGAGCCTTGCTGACCAGAATGTCTTTCCTGAATTAAGTATAACGGTGAGAGTAATTGCTAAACACATTTACAGTAAAACTATGTACAGTAGTCAGCATTTGAAGTGGATCGAACTGTTTTTCAGATAACACTACACTAAAAAAATGTACATATATATTTTTGCTACTTATTTAAAATAAGCTGAATCAGCACAATGCTTTAGATTTCATTGGGACAACTTATTTTTTATGTTTAATCCACATAACTTTAAAGTGTTAAGTTAACTTAATTGATTTGCGTTGGGACAACATGAATGAATTGTGTGGAAACATGCATTTTTTACTGTGTAGGTCACATTTCATGCTGTTAACTATTGGTGTATTACCTGCTTATTATTAAGATATTAGCTGTTCATTAGAAGTTACAACGTATGATTTTATTTTACATCCATAATCCTATGAAAAAACCGTACAAAAGCATGCACGTTATTTTAGCTGGGTGCTCAGGCAAACACTAAAAAGAGCAAAGTATATATTCAAAAAGGCGGCAACACCAGTGCTCCAATAATGCCATTTTTTAAATTAAAAAGACTGATACAATACAAGCCTTGTATTAGCCTTTTAGATGTAATTAATTCATTTATTCATTTTCTTGTCAGCTTAGTTTCTTATCCCAGTGTCTCCTTTATTAATCCGGGGTCGCCACAGCAGAATGAACTGCCAACTTATCCAGCAAGTTTTTAAGCAGCGGATGCCCTTCCAGCCGCAGCCCATCTCTGGGAGGCATCCACACACACTTTCACACACTCACACTACGGACAATTTAGCCTACCCAATTCACCTGTACCACATGTCTTTGGACTGTGGGAGGAAACTGGGAGGACCCGGAGGAAACCCACGCGAAGGCAGGGGGAACATGCAAACTCCACACAGAAACGCCAACTGAGCTGAGGCTCAAACCAGAAACCCAGCGACCTTCTTGCTGTGAGGCGACAGAACTACCCACTGCGCCACTGTCTCGCCTCTTTTAGATGTAATAAATCGGCATTTTTGGATCTTAAGTGTCACCGCCATTTTGAATATACAACCATAATCTTACCCAAAACCTAAACCCAACTATTACGTTAAAATTGAGCAGTTAATTAGTAGTTTATTAAACTAGTAGTGTGTGTAATAGTAGTAGTTAATGGTTTGTTTACACAATGAATTGTGACCTGAACTAGAGTTACCGTGTTAAAGTGCAAGACTAGAATGTTTAATAGTTTTATGAAAGTAGCTTCTAATTAAAGGTTCTGATCCACTTCAGTTGTTGATTACTGCAATTGTTTTACATTATATTGAAGCTAAATACTTCATGTAGTTTATTCTTATCCATGTGTCTCCATTTCAAAATATCTATCTATCTATCTATCTATCTATCTATCTATCTATCTATCTATCTATCTATCTATCTATCTATCTATCTATCTATCTATCTATCTATCTATCTATCTATCTATCTATCTATCTATCCATCCATCCATCCATCCATCTATAGCGCCCCTGGAGGCTCGGAGGGCGATCGCAAGGCGACTACGCCAGTTCCGTTTCCCTGCTGAGTGTGTTAGCAGAAGGAGCCGCTGGTTTCCGCTCCGCTGATGGTGAATCGCTGCTCCTGCGGTATCGGGAGGAGGTTTAGAGCCCGCAGTGGAAGCGCAGCGGTACTTCGGGATTCAGCTTTATCATTTTCTCGTCGAGTCGCGTCCACGTACGAACTACTGAAGGAGGAGGGAAGGCAGGAAGGGAAGATAGCAGGAAGATGGCGGCGGCGGCGGGGGCCTTGCCAGGCTCGCCGGACTGGGTCGTGCTGAGGGACGGCTGCCTGCGCTGCGACGAGGAGGGCCTGCGGAGTTTGTCCTACCACCCGGCCCTCAACGCCATTCTGGCCGTCACCAGCCGGGGCAGCATCAAAGTCATCGACGGCACCTCCGGGGCTATTTTACAGGCCTCGGCTTTGCACGGTGAGTTGCGGCTCGGACAGGGTTATCCAGGCCGGTCTGGATCATAGCTTATCAGATCACCGCTGGATCTGTTTGTAGATGAGGTGTAACGTTAAAGTATGCAAGGTTCTTTACTCGTGATGGAGGAGGAGAGTGTCAAAATGATGTTGATAGATTCTTCTGACGCTGCGGTGTTGTGGTGGTAATCACTTCTCTCTATTTGGACTCCCAAAGGAGGACCGTGTCAAAATGCTCTGGCTCTTTTGGGGCTTGCTGATGGAAAGCTCGTGCGATCAATTCTAGTTTGAAGGATTGTATGAAAATAATCGTCATTTATATTATATTGTGTTTTAACATCGACTAAGTACTATAAAGGAATGGCCCACTTTTATGGCTGTTGATTGGTGTATGCGATGACATAAAAGGTTTTGTGAGAATAATCGCGCACTCTTGATGGAGTTGTTTTGACAGTCATCCCTCTCAGTCTTTGGGCCTCCTGATGATCCTCTCCGTTTAGGGCCTCTTAGATGTGCCGTTCTGCCGGATAACTGTAAACATTGCCACGTTATTTACGCATCCACGCGTTGTGAACATTTCATTACAGTTCATCCACGTTACATGTCACTTGTTAATTATGTCAAATAAAACTAAATCAAGACACGAACCAAAGTCTGATATGATCTTAGAGTAAAGCGGCACTAAAGCTAATCTAAACATTAGCAAATAACGTTACCCCCTCGTTTAGATGTGTGTATCTCTCTTACTTGGTGCCACTGACATCCAACTATTATAGCACTAAATTCAAATGATATGTAGTGCTTAATAGCATATGTTTTAACTGTCGCAGTAAACATTTTATTGATTTTTGGATCTGATTTAGCTGACAGAGGTTTAGCTAATCACGCTAACGTTAGCTTAGCGGTAGCCTAGCCTGCCTGCTACAGATCAGTAACACTGCTTCTGGTTATGTCAGCCTTGACAGGTGACAGCTGACTAACGTTAGAATATTTGCGCATAACATGAATATTCATGTTTATTTTTCTTCTTTTTGTGAACATGGATGTATGTAGTTTGGGAAGGCTTGTGTGCTTTTTCTGACGTTTTGTTGTTAAACGTCATTTTGGACTTACGTGTGTGTGGTGGTATTGTTATTGTAGTATGCACGTTATTGACCTTGTCAGCCTGTATTCGCGTGTTTATCTGTAAATCTGTTTGTTAAATACGCAATTTTAAGCATACATAATTACAATTTAGTTATGCATTGTTTCCTGGAGCAGTAATAACCAGTAAGCAAATACTTTGAACAGACTCTTTTCTTTTTAGAGATTCATTCAATATTCCTTTAAAAACAGATGCAACATTTAATGAATATGGATTAGCTTGTTATTATATTATAAACTGCTCATGTCCGGCTCATTAACTGTCACAAAATGAGTTTGCATCTATAAATCTAAAGCTTAACATTTTAATTAAAGTACAGCTGGACAATAAGGGCCTTTAACGGGTTTCTGTTCAAAGTCTTCGAAGATCTTCTGTCAAATGTCTCAATACTTAACCATTTGTGAATGTAGCTTGTAAAGCCATTTATGTACAAACTCTTTCATAGGTTTTAAGTAGGGCTGGACGATGTTGGAAAAATCTGACATTGCAAAAATTTGTTTGGCTACGATATATAATGCAATGTGAATATAATTTCACCAGAGGATTTAAACAGCTCTACTTGGAAAGATTTCATTAGCTTGGATCAACTGGGAGTCTTTTTCTGCATAACTTATAATAATTTACAATCAAAAGTAATAAATAAACAGTGCTTTATGAATTTCTTTGGAGTCTAACAGTATTTAAGTACAGAAATTAAGCAATCTAATGTAAAACAGCATGGTCATCGTTGTATAAATAATGATAAAATTATAATATCTATCTATTAATCTGTCATAAATAATCTAATCCTGTGATGTGACTATTGCAGATACACATATTGCGTTATTGATGCACAAATGAAATATTGTTCAGTAAAGATTTTTTGTATTTTACAGCTGAGGTTGTAAAAGTTGCAATTTGTCTAGGTTTAACCTGAAATCGCCACTGACCATCAGAGTCTAATTGGAATTGTTTCCAGCAAAGCAGCAGCAGTTCAATAGTGTATCCGTACGTTCACACCGAAAGCGGCGAGAGCGTCTAAGGTCGCTCTGGCCGCCCTGGCGACAACGCTGTCTGCCTTCAGCTCCGGCGGTGAGAGCGTCAAAACTCGCTACATTGATCTCGTATTTAAAGGAGCCGTTGCAGCATATCAGTTACATTCCTGCATAAGACATGTTTTTAGCGTGAAAATGTTGCGCAATTTTTATCAAATTCATATAACAATGGAAGATCAGGTTGCATGTGGTGTGGCTTTGCTTTATTTATCCAATATGTGTCCATATGTCTGAAATATCCTGAAGCAGCTATACTGTTTTGTACTGTCACATCGCGTGAGATTCCCGCTTTTTTTAAGATAAATTTATATAACATTAATGAACATCAGTAACTCGCCAGTAACTTATTTAATGTATGTTCCTGTAAGAAAACATTGTTAATAATTGGAAATCCGGCGACCGCAATAATCAAACCCTTGGGAACAACTGTGGTCGGAACCAAAGTTCACAGGTCTGTGTTCCCTGAACTGCTATCAAGCGGTGGACGTCTTCATTCTGATTGCTTGCCGCCGAACCGCGTCATAGCTCATTACCATAAAGTTGACTTCATTTCAACTCTCCTCGACACTCACGCCGGAGAAGACACGCTGCGCTGCTCCTCGCCGCTTATCGCCGCCGCCTCTCATTGAAAATTAATGACTTCCGGCTACTTTGACGCTCTCGCCGCTTTCGGTGTGAACGTACGGTAATATGTTTTACACGTATTGTTCTGACATTTTCACCTTTCATCTGTTTGTTAATTGATGTTAGTTGATCGAAAATTACCAATGTTTGTGGAAATATTTATTTAGACTTGAGTTGATTGAAAATCAGTCTGAGAGGATTTTATGCTCAAACATGTCTATTTGAAATTGCAATAAAGTTATTTAGCAGGGATTCCCTTGGCACAGGGAGTTGCACAGAACACAGTCGACTCATGCTTGTATAGATAATATTGATTGTAAAGGTCTTTCCTTTTTTCACCATTGAGAGAGTAACACTTCGCAGATTTGTGGATTGGGTGTTGCTCTTTTATCATTTGTCCTGGTGTTTGTAGAGAGATGCCTGTGGTTGCAGCCTTTATTTTGATATGTTTTGTACTTAAATATTATTTATTGTTTTTAACTAATCAATAAACCTGTCATTTTGGCTCCAGTCATTCATGCATGTTAGGATATTTAACTTTACTTCTTGGGTAAAAAGAAACAGAACATTTTGGAATGTCACACTGATGCCAGTGAAATTTCTCACTTTCCTTAATGTGGTGTTGGAGAATGATCTAGAAGTTTGTTCAAATGAAAGTGTGATCAGAAAAAGATCAGTATTTTTTTATTAGTATACTCAAAGCAATTTTTTGTGATCGTTTTTAGTTGTTTGTTAGAGACATTGCAAACATTTCTTATGTACCATATTGTTAAAAAAAAACACTAAAAATTAAAGTGACGAACACATGAATCATAGGCGACACATAAACTTATGTTTCTACATTTAGTATTTTTAATATTGTCCAAAAAAACACTAGAACAGTGTTATATATTTTGCTAACTTATATGAAGAATGTTAAAATCTAGAGAAATAAACAATTTTAACTATAGTGACAGGGACCGTGTCCTGTGTCAACATGCTGGTGACGTCATACACCCTCATACAGGCCGGTAAATAAGATTCTGACAGTATGATAACCTTGGATATAAATATCACGGTTTCACAGTATTGTGATTACTGCTCTAAAATATATTCTTTTTAAATGTCTGGGTAAAAAGCAACAACCTTTTCTTCCTTGAACACAATATATTTTATTGTAAGAAGCATTTAAAATATTTTAGAAGAATAAATATGTCAGGCTGAATAATTAAAATGAATCAATGACTTTTGCTGTTTTCATTTGTTTCAAAAATCTAAATTTCTTTACAATTGAAATCAAAATCTTTGGATATCTTTTATGCTGGAGATACTGTTGTCCTAAAAAACAAACAAACAAACAAAACGTAAAAACAGGGTTCAACTCTAAAGATTTTTTCTGCTGGCCTGATTGGTTCAGATTTTTACTTGCCCTGCCAAAATTTTTTACAGGCCCTGCACCAAAAAACAAAAAAATAAAACAATAATAATAATAATTATAATAATAATAATAATATATAGCTATTTATTAGCCACATATTTTAAATAACTTGTCAAAATAATGTCTGTGAATCTAGAATTTCAATATTTAAAATTTAAAAAAATATTCAGCAGTAAAATATAGCAGTATGGAAATGTGCAGGTATTTTATTGCAAAACAAAAGTTGGCTGACTTAAACTATGCAAAACAACACTTAATTTTTTTGTGGTGTTTCCACAATGTTAGAAACGGATGTTTTCCTTTAGCCTCAAAATTTGATGTGGCTGTCATGCTGTCGTCTCTTCACTGTACTGGTTTTTCCAAGTTATGGAAACTAGAAATTATGTGCTCACAACATCCAATCAGAGAAGAGGAACCAAAAAGCAATATGGTGTTCACGACTTCACAAATAGGTAGCATTCAAAGACTTAAAAGCACAAATTGTTTCGCGATTCTAAGAATGTATTTGCATGCAATTGACAAACAGTCGCTGACAAATTTAAATTTTGTGACAAGGCAGCACTGGTCTGATAGGGCAGTCCTTATTGAACCTTGAAAAATAAAATCTTACACAAACCTGTAGAGTGTGTTAAAGTAAAGCTAAAGTGGCTATAGTGTATGTGTCTGAATGCCTGGGTTGCAGCTGGAAGGGTATCCGCTGCATAAAACATATGCTGGATAAGTTGTTGGTTCATTCCGCTGTGGCGACCCCCTGATTAAAAAAGGGACTAAGCTGAAAAATATGAACGAATGAATTGTGTCAAAGCAGCTTAACATAGAAAGTTCTAATAAATTGAAATTGAAACGGTCAGTCTATCAGTTATCATGCGTCTATAAACAGTAATTTCATATTAAAATACAGGTGTTTTAAATTGTAATATTGCAATATTACCGTTTTTACAGCAATTTTTGATCAAACAAGTGCAGCCTTGGTGAAGAAAAACGATAAGAAGCCAAACTCTTGAATGTTAGTGTGCATTGTGGATGTGATTGTTTTGTAGCAATTATAAGACATAATAATAGACTGTAAATAGACTGCAGTCTCTTACTCTGCCACTCCTTTAAATGCTAACTGTATTGTTTTACTGCCTTAAGGAAATAGTTTATTTTCATTATCAAGTGTTATATAAAAATGCAGGATTCGTTTTTTCATTTAAACATTGCTATTATGCCAGACATTTATTATGCCATTCTTTGACTTGTGTTTTTTTTGACAAAACAGAAAACATTACATTGCATTATTTGATCTGTATTAATCTGAAGTTATTTATCAAAATTGAACTGAAAAATCATATTTAACTTTGAATAGATTTTTGTGTTAATTTTATTTATTTATTTCTATTTCTATATTTGTAACTTTATTGTAATACGAATAGCTTTTATCATGTAATATCTTTTTTATGTATATTAGGGCTGTGCAATTAATGGAAAATTCACTTTCTATTTCCAATTTGGCCTCTAACAATTATGAAAAACATTAATCGAGAATAAACGATTATTGCATCATATACCGCCCCATTTCCAGTTCAGTTTCACATAAAAATGACTGAAAGCATGTACTGTAATGAAACTTTTGCAGCACGGAATGTGCATCATTCATTGATGTGCTTTCGAATCATTCATGTTTTTAAAAGCGCGAAAGAAATCGCATGATGTTGTGTGTATGCGCTCCACCTCAGAGACGAGCAGAGCACACACATCTAAAGTCATCTAATGCCGAGTTCAGACTGCATGATTTTAGCCCTGATTTTGACTCGCCAACAGGTTTTGACAAATTGCAGACAAAAGCCTGAAATCACAGGCAAAACAGTGCTCATTCACACGAGTATCACACAGTGTGAACTATCATAAACGCCATCTGAGAGAATCGCTGATCATTCGCTGATGCCTGTGAGATATTTGGCATGCTAAATATCTGGAGCTGTCGACGATTCAAATCATGCCGTGTGAAATGAGTTTAGACTGAAAATAACATTGTCGATGATAGGGCAAGATTCACTAGTGTGGGTGACTTCAGGCCAGCGGGAAGTTGAGGAAGAAGTTAAAAGCACTCATTTTCTATTTATTTTGACCCAAGAAATTTTCTTGAGCAATATCACAACCGGGTGAAAAAAGAAAGTTGAGGAGAAATTGCTAATTCCCGTCAAAGCCAGGTGAGCAAATATGTACAATTTCTAACCCATTAAAGGCTTCTACCTCGTTAATATAATATAGTTAATAACAAAATATATACTTGATTTTGGTTGTGAGACCTAGTTTGGATGAAGTTATCTGCAATTCTTCCTGTTGTAAAGTCATACAATGTGAAACCCTGTCGCCGATTAATCTTGCAGTTGAAACAAAGCAGTGACAAAACGCTAGCACAGATAGTCATGCAGTGTGAAAACATCTGTGACATGACTACTTTGAAAATCATGCAGTCTGAACTCATCATTAATGTGACTGCTTCAATGGTCAAGCTCATGCAAATTTGTGTCAACACGGTGTTTATTGATTATTTATATTAACCCTCTTTATGTAATAAACAAACAAGTTGAGAAACCATAAATCAGAACCATACTGCTCTTAAAGTGACAGCATACAATATTCCTGCTGCCGACTGTTTTTATCATATTAATCAAACAAAAGCAAAAAAAAATCACTCACTGCTTTTGACTGAAGGACTTTTGTAGCTATAATTAAAGTTTTTTTTTTCTTACAGTGAAGAACGATGCTTAAAGCACAGCTTGCTTCAGGAAAGTAACTGTATATATACAGTTAAAGTCAGAATTATTAGCCTTTTTCCCCTCAATTTCTGTTCAAAGGAAAAATCAATCCATTTCTAAGCATAATAGATTTAATAACTAATTTCTAATTACTAATTTCTTTTATCTTTGCTTTGATGACAGTACAGAATATTTTATTACATATTTTTGAAGATACAAGCATTTAGCTTAAAGTGCGATTCAAAGGCTTTATCAGGGTAGGCAAGTCATTGTATAACAGTAGTTTCTTCTGCAGACAATTAAACAAAAAATACTGCTTAAAGGGGAGAATAGTATTGAACTTAAAATATTTAAATCTGCTTTTATTCTAGCCAAAATAAAACAAGTAATACTTTCCCCAGAAGAAAAAATATTATTGAAAATACTGCAAAAAATTTCTTGCTCTGTTAAACATCATTTGGGAAATAAAAAAAAATTATTCACAGGAGGGTGATTAATTTTGATTTGAACTTTATATTGTTTTGAATAATCGGGATTACAGTTATGGCCAAAATAATCGTGATTATGATTTTTCCAATAATCGAGCAGCCCTAATGTGTATCCATTTTTCCTTGAAATAGTTATGAGTTGCTGATGTGGCAATAAAAATAAACAAATAAGTTTGATCTGTATGTTTGTTGAACTAATGTAGAAAAGCTTCAGCCTTATGCATTAATGATCACTCAGCCTCTCTCCTTGTGTGTGTGTGTGTTTTGTGACAGCTAAACCTGGAGGCCGGGTGAGGTGTCAGTACTTCCCAGCTGTGGATAAGGTGCTGTTTGTGGACGATTATGCTGTTGGCTGCAGGAAGGACTTGAATGGGATCCTTCTTTTGGACACGGCTCTCCAGGCCCCCGTGTCCAAGCCAGAAGACATGGTCCAGCTGGAGCTGCCCGTCACTGAAGTAAGATACGTGGCATATTGTGCATATTGATTTATTGTGTATAGCATTGCGATTGCGAGTTGGCTATGCTTTACCTGACCACTAACAGTAAATGGTTGTAGGTTGACCATCTCAGTACAAAGGTGAGCAATGGTGCATTTTAAGCAGCTTGGAATTATTTTCTTGGGTGCTCTTTTGTTTGATAGGATGATAAATATTTATTTCTGTGAAATCCAAGTATGCATTTTTATAATGTTAAATAGGACTAAATGTGTAATTTGAGTCCAGCACTCCAGATGGTCAGTCTGACTTACAGCTGATAAATGTTTTCAGGGCTTTCATGTCACAGCTGGACTGCACATTGTATTTATTGGTAGGGGTGGGAATCGATATTACAGTGGTTCATCGCTATCACTTTTTGTGGCCTCGCAGTTTTACACATTTTTTTTCATACAATTTGACTTTTTTTAATATTTTAATCTTGACTGGCTGTAGACCACTTTCGATCAATCTCCTCCATGCCGTGTCTCCTGTACAGTACAGAATGCGTTCAACTTGACAATTTTACGTAAATCTTTGATCACTAGCAGTGTGATTCTGAAGTGCTGTACTATATGTTTTCAAGTTTACTCCTCATAATGCAGATGAAATGTTCTGCACCGTCAAAGGCAACTGCAGAAGCACCCAAAAGGCAGAGTAAGATGCTAAACATCACACAAAAGCTGAACTTCTGGACATGGTAAAGACAGTAATGCGGCTGTAGGTCACCATTGCGAAATAAATGAACGAAGATCCTATGGTTTTGATCATTTGTTTCATATACTGGACTAGGCTTGGGCGGTGTCCAAATTTTGAGACCGTCAAACCGCCTCCATATTTTTCCCCGGTATCCGGTATTACCGGCGTAATAAAAAAAATTATGACGTAAGGCTCAGACAGCGTCACCAAACTGTTGGCTTGAGCCTAAACCATTCAGAAACTGAATACCTTCTATGCGACCTTAGGCAGAGAGAGAGAGAGAGAGAGAGAGAGAGAGAGAGAGAGAGAGAGAGAGAGAGAGAGAGAGAGAGAGAGAGACAGACAGACAGACAGACAGACAGAGAGACAGACAGAGAGACAGACAGAGAGACTTTCTCTGTCTTACACAAACACACACACATCTCTCCCGCGATTTATTCAGAAATTTACTCCCACACCGTAAGAAATCTGGCCGGCTCCCGCGAGAATGCAGAGAGCTGTAATCGGGCCATAAAAATTATACCCGATAGGTCCCGAGTCCGACACGTACATTTTGATTGACAGCTTTATGAAGCCCGAACCCTTACAGCTCTAATGCATTTTTTCAAGAATGAGTCATTTATATGTTTTAACAGCATTTATTCGTAACAAACGTAGACTACATCCCACTTGAAAGTTGGAACAAAGAAATAAAATAAGTCCTCTGTAACATCGTAACATCTCAGCACTCTATAGGTCTACATGCACTTAGCCTTTAAATTGGCCAACACACCAATGAAAAGAAATCTTGCTTAAATCAAATAAACTCTAAATGATGACGGGTATTTTGGCAGTAACTAAATTGAAGCTGAATATTAAAAGAATAATGCCACCATTAGTCTGTATACTCTGTCTACATTATGATTATATGGTTTAATTAATATTTATTTATAATTTAAAACCCTTTACTCACCAAGATTAGGCTACGTGTGTTTGTGGAGGAACATTATTAAATCCACTGGCTTTAGCGCAGTCTTGCGCTCATGTGCGTCCAGCAGCACTGAACATCGTTTCACTGCTACTGCTACAGGCCGAGATGCAGAGTTCTGATCTGGCTGATTTTGCAAGTTTTAGGTAGGATTGTTTATTCATCTTATACCAGTCAGGAACATCCATTTAATTTTCCATGACCGTAGTTTCAGGGTAGCGAGTGGCCTCGTCATTTTACCTGTCAGCTTGCGGTTTAGGGCTCTACCGTAATACGCAGTGTATGAGCGACCGCTAAACCTGCGGCTGGAATAACCGCTCTTTCTGACTGGCTTGACCGCCGTCAAAATTCTCTTTTTTTACTACTTCGTCATAATTTGCTTCACCTTTGCAGGGATGGATTTTAATGCAGGGATTTGGATTTTTTCGGGTCTCGCCGGGTTCGGGCAAAGATCTTTAGCTCTAATGCAGACCTCTCGTTCATATTAACCACGTCTCCCTTCTGTTCAGTCTAAACTGCCAAACTGCAGGACACTTTGAAGCGCGACTCGTCACGTCACGTCTCCCTGTCCCTCTCTCCCTCTCCCTCTCACCCTCTCCCCCTCCCTCTTCCTCTATCTCTCTCCTCCACACTGTCCCGTGATGACAACCACACACACGTTTTTTAGGCATTAAATAAAGGATATTTAATACTTTATGACGGTATAACGGTATTGAAACTGACGCCGTTGCTATTTTTAGATCCCGCGGTATACCATAATACCGTAATATCGCCCAAGCCTATACTGGACTTATTTTTCTACGAAGGTTTGAACTTTCAGAGTGTTTAAACAAGAGAGAAAAGTGTAAGAATGTTAATGCCTGTCTGAGAAAAGTGTATAAAGAGTGTAGTGTAGTTAAAGTTTACAGCTTCAAAACATCTGTAATAGTTGTAAAAAATGAAGCTGACTATTGCGGGCTATTTGTAGAAAGTAAGTACCTCTAATCAGGAGGGACTGTATTCTAAAATGATTCTCGACCTATGGTTTTTCCCTATTTCAGTCAAATACATCTTTTTAACTTTACGTTTAAACCAGAATTAAAGTTTGACAGTACTGCCATCTTAAAAGTAATTTGTTTTATAAACAAAGTTATTCAGGATGAACAAATGCTTGGAATTGCTTTTAGTTCAGAGCCACGGAGAACCAGCCCTAAAACAAGATAGTTGTTGTAGTAATAGCAACAATTAAAAATTCTTAATTGTCTAAATTGCTTTAATTTGGCAGCATTTGTACACATTCTTGTCAATACCTGTTATTTTCAGTTTCTAGCTCGAGCCCCAGCAGACTTACACTGTTTCAATCTATTTTAGATACAGAATCATTAGAGAAGGAATTGCCCTTTTCCATAAAGATACGAATAAAGATTTTTTTTTTTAATATAAAGATACGTTCTTAAGATAACCTTTTCCTTCTGATACTTTAATTTGTTTAGAGCTTGATGGTAAAGCAAACATTTAAAGCAGAACATAAAAGCAAATGACTGTGATGTCATTTTGGACAATGTTATTCTCCAAAAGGAGTTTGGCAAGAGAACTTGGTAGAATAATTTGCTTTGTTTGGGAAATTCTTTTGAACATGCTATTGGTGTGTGTGCTCTGAGGCTCTGCCGCCTTTGACTTGGAAATGATCTCTGATTAATTTCTTCTGTTCAGTGTTCAGATGTAAAAATGATGAACATTGTTGAGAGCTGGTGGAATTTAAAGTTATTTTGCTTAAAACCACTTTTTGTTGCGAGTATGTTGGGACTTTAAAGAGTTTACATGGTAAAATCTTGAGGTTAGGTTACCTGTTGAGAAGAAACCTCACAAATTAGGTGTCTCATTTGAAATTTTTTTATCAAATTCCTCTTGCACAATCTTCCCTAGTTACACCATAATTCTTACACCATTTACTGCCTTTGCATATTTTGCAAAAGCTTCCAATATTGGCTCTGACTGCTGTAAGTGAAGATGAATTTCCATCATAGTCTAATGGTGGCTGAACACCATTTGGCTTCGCCTGCCTGCTACAGTAGCCACACCCCAACGTCTCACTATTGGTTGACTTGGGAAGCGTTGGACTGATTTGTATGGGCCACTCCTTTGGATTGTGAATTGCACTGTGTTTACTGATTTGGTGGAGATAATCTTCATGAATGGTTATTAGTTATTGTAGTCAGTCAACGATAAAGATAATGTAAATGATTTTCTTTCTTTTTTTTAATAGAAAAATGTTTTTGTATAAAAAAAAATCTCATATTTATTTCAAAGCCATGCTATCTTAAAGTTCTCATGAAGTGCTTTGAAATGTGCATTTTATTTCGTTTGATATTTTAAGTAATCTGAAACAGGGCGGGACTTGGTGTAGCGCCTTCCTTTTTTTGTTACCACCGAGAGTGGTTAAGCTCAGGTGCATCAAAAGCAAAGCAAATAAGAAGCATCTTGAGCATTTAATATGTCAAAATTTGATTAGAAACTATGAGGAAACTTTTGTATGAGGTGGAATCAAAAAATGCATTCCATTTAGGCGGAAGTGACAAACTGCTGGCTTTGGATTGTTTTATCTTCTCTAAACGTTAATTTTGTCTGTTTTTAAGGACACAAGATATCCTCAAAAGAGGCCTGTTGTGCAGTAAACATATTCATAAGGTTTTTAAGCACAATTGTGTTGCAACAGTCTGTGAATATAATCAGCTTCTAATGGTAAGCATTTATTTATTAAGTTTTTTATAATCACACTTCATAAAAACAGTCTGCAGCAATTCTCTGACATTTCCCCTTTGTAAATGTGATCAGGGAGGGAAAGTCCCACCCATTAGTGTTGATTTATCCCTCATTAGCATAGGACGTTAGTGTTGTTTTTGAATCTGTAATTAAGCTGACACATTTTCATCTCCGCCCCCTTTTGAAAGGACAGCTGGGAGCACAATGTCATTTGAATTTAAAGTGACAGTCATTAAAATGGCACAATTAAGTTCAAAGCCTTAAATGGTGCAGTTTTAAAAACTCAAAAAATATTTGTGGGGTATTTTGAGCTAAAACTGAAATTGAAACCTCACTTCACATCTTGTTAAAGGGGGATAATAGGTCCTCTTTAAAACATACTAATACTAAAACCTAAAAAACTTTTTAAATTTCACAGGACCTTTTACATATTCATCATGACTGTCATTGAGGTGCATGTGTAAGCACAGGTCACACAGGTCAGACTTGTCCTGTCATCAGTGTGGTGTAGTCTGACATATAACACACATTACATTGGCTCATCCATCACTGAACGGCATGAATTAATGTTAAG